ATCTCGGGGTTCATGCGATCAAAGCAGTCAAGGGCCTCATGACTGGTAGATCCACAAATTTGACATTGGACTTTGAAGGTAGAAGAACCGGGATGATTGCGCGAGCCTTGATAAATCCGATTACCACGATTAGGATTGAAATTACCACGAGGATTGCGATTTCCTCGATTGGAAATGAATTGACCCCTAGGAGGCTTGCCACGATTGGAGTTGTACCGAGAGGCAGAGTGAAGTGGTAAAGACTGAGCAGCAAATGCCGAGGGAGTAGGAAGCATAGGAGGCTGAGACTGCACAGAGAAAGCCTGAAATGGTTCAACCACAGAGGCTGAAGAGACTGTCTTCCGTCGAGCCATAGAAAGCTCCTTGGTAAGTAAGAGACCGTGAAGTTCATCCAGAGACGTCGAAGACAAACGAAGCATTATAGAATCAATGAAGGACTCAAACTCATCAGGCAAACCATGTAAAGTAGCAGCAATTAGATCACGATCGGAGACGGAAGCACCTGCAGCATGTAATGAATCTGCAATTTCCTTGATTTGCTGGAGATATCCCGAGATAGAATTTGAGCCTTTCTGTACCGATTGAAGGCGTGAGCGCAATTGATGAATATTAGCCTCCGAAACACCACCAAAACACTGTTCAAGCTTCACCCAAAGCTCGCGAGAGGACGAGACGCCAACCGTGAACGGAATAATCTCTTCAGAAAGTGTGGAATTCAACCAGATTAGCAGATTTTGATCTTTTTCATACCATTCTTCAAAAGATGGATTCAGTGAGCGATCAGCCAAGAGAGGCGGTGGACAGATCTCAGTGCCTTCAATCACACCGAGAAGTTTGTAACGCCGGAAAATAGGAGCAAACAACGCTCGCCATGGAAGATAGTTGGAGCTTTTCAGTTTAATCGGCACCATACTACCAATGTTGTGAATCGTCAGAGAAGTGTACGAATTCAGAGAAGGAGGATTAGAAGAGGAATTAGGGTTTGGAGTCGGAGAAGATCCAATTGGGGACGAATCTGACGGAGAAGCCATGATCTCGAACAAGAATCAATCGACGAACAGAAGAGAAATCAGAGAAGAAAGAGTGAAGAATCAGAGTTGAAACACCAAGAATCGATCAAGAGAAGATCGATCGATGCGGAAGATGGATACGATGCTGTGAAGCAAAAAGGCGAGATACCATAAAGAGAAACAAATCTTCTTCTGTAAGATTGTATTTCATTGACTGAATAAACAATTACATGGATGTACATTTATATAGCCTTTGGCTCTTTACATTTATACCCTTAGCTTCCTTAACTAAACTTGTACAATCCTAACTAACCACAACTAATAACAAAACTAACTACATTTAGTTTTTCCAAACTATTTATCATTAACAGAAATGGATGATGTATCATCTGTCCTAATAGGAGCAACAGGATTTTGCTATATATATATAGGGAAAACATATATCCTCGATATTCTAATTCAAGAAAACTAGCTATATATGTACGAGAAAGAAATTAACATTAGTACTACTGTTGGGACTATTGTGTCCGTACGAAGATGCGATTGAAATTGATATAATAATTTGACACCATATGCTCAAAAACCTCTGGCTTTGCTTATGCCTACGTTAACTTACACTTCAACATCCAGTTGCCCCCACATCCACATATATGTCCAATTAGAATCACGAACTTCACACACATACACTCTATGTAAGAGGAAGCAAATTCTTTAAGCCAGCGGAAGAGGAAGCTGCAGTGCAGAAACATCTCTTAATATTGCCAAGAACTTATAAACAAATTCTCATTTCAAATAATTTCCTCGATTTTCGTACAGTAGTACTGGTGGCGTTAGGGCTAAACAAGCTAGTTTTTGCATTTGTGGTGCTGCTGATCTTCATTGCCTCAGTCGTTTTTGTTGATGGTAGACGTACGTTCATTTATTCTCATCAAATTCTAGTTTTACTTTTCTGATGGTGTATTCAATTGAGATTTTGAGGGATTTTAATTCTTTTAATAAATTTAGAAGTATTCAATCAGGATTTTAAGTGATTCTTTGAAATTCAAGTTGTATTCAATTAGAATTTTAAGATAATTTATTAAAATCCTTAGAAATCCAGGTGTATTCAATTAGGATTTTAAAGAAGTTTATAACATTTCAGGTATATTCAATTATAAATTAATTTTAAAGAATTTGAGAAAGTTGAGGAATTAGAGGGAATTTGAGAGATTTTGTAGTGTATTTTAAGCATCCACAAATCTCACATCTTCCTATGAGATTTCGAGGGAATTGAATCAAAATTTTATATGGAATCTCTACAAATCAATTAAACTCCATAAAAATCCATAAATTTATAAATTCATTAAAATCTCTCAAATTCTTAATTGAATACACCCCCTTAATTAATCAAATTATGGTAATTCTCTTTAAATTTCTTTAATTAATGTGTAGTAATATACACTATGATATGCTTTTTTCTTGCTGTCAACTGTCATGCATCATCAGGATATATGGGGGTCCACGAAAAAGGTGCAGGTCTTGTTCAAGATGAAGCTGCCAAGACCATTCAAACAAATTCATTCAAAACAAAACGAGAGAAAAATCTCGCAACTGGACAAGATTTGGTGTTGCTGGTCATGGATTACACCCCGGCCAGAAGGAAGACCCCCATTCATAACTAGTAGTCGCTATCATTTGTATTACACTAGTAATATGTATTAATCATCCATCATATAGTTCACCTGGATGCTATCTAGCCAGGATAACAACAGAAATGCATGCAATTATAGCGAGGATTAAAATACTTCAAATTTTGAATTCCTGCATATCTTTCTGTATTGTCACCCATATTCATTTGGGACGGCTATATATCACCCTGCATGGATACCTATTTGAATTTCTCTAATGGAAATTTAAACCCTTAAAAGTTATATCTCTTATTATTTTTTAGGATTCTCCATGTTGAGAGTGTTAATTTTACATCGATAATTAAAAGACTTTGCATGTACTTATAAAAATTATATTGCTCTCCATATTACTAATTGGTATATATTCTGGTGGACATTCAACTTATTTTGTTAATAAAATAATAAAAAGTTATGAAATCAAATTTGTGGATCGTTCAATGACTTCACAGTTTTGTTTAGAACTAATTCATCAAGGTCAAATTTTCATTACCAAAGATGTTTGGCTGTAAATTTGAATCAATTTAATTATTTAGAGAGAATTAATCAGTTCTTACTTTTTTTTTAATCTTGTGCTGTTTCCAAGCAATGCACGAAGCATTACTCCTGGACTAATATATGCAGTACAGATTTTACTCCTCATATCTTGTAGTACATGTAAAAACTTAAACTAGCTGGCAATATACTGGTTTCTTATATCTCCGATCTCGGATCCTGTCCTCCTCCTTTCTCCTCTCGCTCGCTGTATAACTCCCGTGCTGCGTTGGCAATACAGTTCATATGCAGCAGACCATGCCAACCTCAACAAGAGCAGCATGAGGAATGCTGAGTGCAACTGGAGGCTCTCTGCAATTTTTATCCAGAAACACATAAGTCATGATCAGCAATCGCTTTAGAATGTTCAATCCGTTGCGCACTGCTAAATGCACCTGCCCTAAGAAGTACGCAGTCCCACTCTCCCTTGCATCAATCAGTTCTTGCAGGTCCTCCCTCACAGATATGCGCATTTTCGGACTATTTGGAGGCAACATGAACCGGACTTTCCTTCTCGTCGCCGGCGTAAAACCACTCTCAATTGCATCACCTAATGGAGACCCAGCTTCGTTGCTCGCATTACTCACACTCCATCTCATATGAATTTGTATCATTCAAAGGAATCAAAACACTTCCGGTTCCATCAGCTGGTGGCTTTCCAACAACAATCATTCTTCCTTCGGATGAATTTTGGGAATCTAAATCACTTTCTTCCATGCAAATTGACACGCCCCGATCCCGATATTCCTCGAATACCAGGATAGGCATGTGCTGGCCGACACCCGAGGGTGACAAAAGCCATTAATTGATACAAAAGCTAAGAATAAGAAGTAAATAAGGGTTATGAAATCTAATACAATGAGTTAATAATTTAGGAACGTGTTCAGAGCATACAACTAAACCTAATCACTAAAAAGAATTAAGATAAAATTGAATAAATAAAGAAGTGGATCCTACATCGAGAGGATTCAAAGATGCTGCTGCGGAAGTGTCTTGATGCCGGGATTCAGTGCATTGATCCTAAGTCCTGAATCGGGGCGCAAAACAAAGGTAAGTGGATCAAGTTCATATATATAATAATAATAAAACAGTTATCAATGTACTAACCCCCACAGTTTATATATAATGAAAACTACTAGCATAATAAATGATAGGTTTTTCTAAAACTCTAGCATGCCATAAAACATCTCAACAGGTATAACGCGGAAAAACATCATATAAATCATCGCATGTATCGTCTCGTAGATCGTCTCGTAAGCGCGGTGTGTTGCTAGAAATATCACTAAATAAATATAACTCTCGGCCCAATGCCTGCTCCGTGGTTTCTGCGCCCGTAGCCAGAGATTACCAACTCCCGGCCCAATGCCTGCTTCGTGTCCCTTAGCCCGTAGCTAGGGATTATTTCTCCCGGCCTATCTGTCAACACCAGATCCTCGCCCCGGGCGGCATAGTGTCCACTAGGTACCCACAAATAGTTACGCCTCTCATAAATAACCACTTCATAGTATAAAGTCATCAATCGTCTATACTATAAAGAGGGGTTTCTAAAACATGTTCTAGCATCCTATCGTCATCCATCAGATAGTCTACCAGTTCATGGTTTTTATAGAAAATATGATATTCCAAAATATAGCTCAATATAGGCCAACAGTAATTCCTCACCAAAAATACGAGACGAAAATCAATATATTTAATAAACAGACTTAACATAAATCAAATCATAAACTCGTAAGGCATGCTATTCATTTATGCAATTGAACTATAAAATCATGCAATTTTAGAAGGGGTCCACTCACAGTACTTCGCCATCAAAAAGCCGTGCAGCTAGCGAATATGCAAAAGCCACAATAATTGCCCCTAAGTATAAAAATGTAATAAATAAATAAAAAGATTTTCTAAAGGATTTGGGTTGAATAGGTTAGTGTCTAATGGGTTTAGGTAAAGGGTTTTGATTTTGGTTAGAAATAAATAGGTGGTTTGGACTTAAACCCAAACCCACACTCACACTTACACACCTACACACACACAGCCCACAGCCCACAGCCCACAGCCCACAGCCAAAAGAATATTAGACAGCTGACGGACTCAAACAAACTCTTCTCCCAGTATAGCGCAATTACAAGTGACATGAGACAAGTCGTTACAAGCATTCCAGAACTTATAGCCAAACCTATGGAAGATTTAACTTAACATCGATTAGATAACCAATTGTTGTTACAAGCATTTCTGGTGAGGAGTGCAGAGAATAAAACTTGTCAGGAGTTTTTGTACTAATTCACTACAGTACTAAAGAAGACGGATCGTTGGGAAATGAATACCTGTCGCGCTACCAATTTTGATAATATCATGGAAACCAATCGTAACAACGAGGCTTAGAACCATCAATAGCCAGTTGATATCAGGAATGTAAACCTGCCCGTGTATCTCATCTGATGTATGAATAACTTTTACTCTCGGAAAACAACCAAGTGCCAGGCACTGATTTATGATGGAGAAGCATGCTGTTATAGTTGCCTGGCTTCCCACAACTGAAGCAAGAAGTGAAAATACTACAAACCCGTGGCGAATTTGTCCAGGAATTTTCATTCACAATCCATTCCATATGTTAGATATCTCAAAAATGCAAACAAAACAAGCATTGAGGAAAAATACAACTTACTAGGCATGGATTCACTGAGATGATTGAAATATTTAGCATCCAAGTTTTTGGAGACACATGCAGCCTGACCGCCGTAGCTTAAAACAAGGACTGGATATATGAAGCAAACAAATGTCATCTACAGCAACACACCGTCCGTAAGTTAATTTAAAATTCGAACTACACTTTGATGTGATTGAAAGAATATGAGATGTATCAAAAACCTTGATTGATTTCTTTCTGAAATGACCTAGAGATGTAAACATTGCTTCCGATCCTGCAGAAGTCAGTGTTTCTGAATGAAAAGTAGGATCAAGCCAAAACATCTGGTTCCGAAATAAAATTAATTAATGTAAATCTTGTGGATAATAAAATGAAGCTCATGAGATCACGGCTGAAGGAAGGAGATAAAACCTGCTACACATAAAGCGATGCTGCCTAATGACCTCCAAGTTTTGCTGTGAATCTTCCTAAAGAACCTGTAAATGTATATAGGGGAGGTAGCACGGATAATTTCTCTGTTCCAGTGGAAAATGTTATATGCACCCCCTCCACCGATAAATAACAGCCAAACAACGATGACAGGAGCAAACATAAACCCAATTTTACGAGTCCCATAGTGCTGTAGTGTGAAGAGGCACACCAATATAGCAGATGCAGTGGGAACCGAGACGTCTGAAACAAATAAGATTCCGAGGGTCTAAAACAGATACGTAACTCAGATATCTAAATCGTGACCAATATAGCAGATTCAGTGGGAACTGGATAAACTTAGCTATCACGATTGGCAGGCTCAGAAATTTGTTATTTACTGTCTGTATGTTAACTTTCCAGTTGTGATGGGGAAAAGTGTTCAACCTTCTCAAGGTCACTGACTACGAAACAACACGAGCAAGAAAGTGGAACAAATTCAATGGATATTGTAACTACTTGATGACAGAATACTCACATTTCTAAAGCTTTTGATATGGCCTCGCTTTTTTTTCCGACTTTGAAACTGGTTAGAGATTAAGAACCACAAGATACATTTGTGTCAGTGTAGTGAGTGATTGACTATGGTGATTAAAGGATGGTTGAAAGAAATAAATATTTCTGTAACTGAATTTACATATAGCTCTTACATCTGGATTCAATATCCAACAATGATCTTTGAATACTGGATGAAACTGCATAGACTGGTTAAGAAAAAGAACAGAAAACAAATCATCAATCTACAAAATGATACTAATGCTACATATGATCAAATTCGGCATAAATTCGATGCAGAAAGTAAACTTTCTTATAAATTTCCAGTAATATTTAGAAAAGGTAATGAGGAATGCCAAACCAGAAAGAGCTGGGGTAAACACCCCAACGCCGATTGTCATGCAGGAACCAAAAAGAGCTAGGAACAACATCAAATAGTGGCTACTTCTATGTTTTTCTATGGCTCTTCTAGCCCTTGATTCCATCTTTGTCTTGTACGGGCTTCCCGCCTCATAGAGCATAACGTCATTAGCACTACTGTCACTTGGAAGCAGGCCAACTTTAGCATGCCTACACAGGAGTGAATACAAAGCAAAAGTACCACCTACAACAAGGTTAAAGTAAAAGTTAATCCAATGCAGAATCCTCGAAAATTAATTCTTGCTGTTGCGATGAAACTAGAACATTACCTTCTCCATTGTCATCAGCTGCTAATACTATAAATGCATACTTGAGTAAAGAAATGATGTTAATAGTCCGGAAAATGAAGGAGAATAGCTCATAAACGGTCTCGTCTGATTTGATATCGTCTGCGTTCAATGTCCCGAACACGTATAAGGGAGCTGTACTCAGTTGAACCATATATTACTCCAAGGCTCTGAAATGACAAACGAATTGTGTGCTTCCATGTCTCCTGCATATTAACAACTCAAAAACTAATTAGGTGAAGGATGTATACTGATCCCTAAATCGAAAACGGAACTGTAGTTAGATCCAATTGGTCAAATTTAACAAGATTTTATTTACAACACCAGCCTAGGTGAAAGGCCGGATAATAAGGCCATGTCCAATGGGGAGGGCTAAAAGTCTAAAAGCTAAAAGATAATTTGGTTTGCTTAAAAAATTCATCTTCAATCGATGGTTGGGCTATAATTCTCTAGAGTCCACCAGACCATTAGTTGGCCAAAGGGACATCAGGCTAGCCAAATGTAGGCCCTTCTTAGCCATTTTTTGAAATCAGCTCCTCAGTTGCAATAATTAATTTCAATTCAACGACTAGATGTGAAAACATACAACGGTAATTCAATTAAATTAACCAATAAATTTAAAGTATAAACTTGAAACTAATAAATTATTGAGGAGACTATGTACCTTTAGTTGGAGATGGTGTATGAGAATGGTCTGACACTGTTCATCAAAAATAATTTTTGCAAGGCCATAATTCTGAACAGGGCTATGTTTAGCCTTTTCGGTTGGAGATGGTCTAACCCCAATTTGAAAAAGTCAACTAGTTGTTAGTCTAGCGATATTTCTCTTTTCTTCTCAACGTTGGAAATTGCCCCAAGTTTGAAACCTTGAATCCCCATCCCCGTTGATTAAAAAAAAGACTCCGATTCGGAAAGTAAATGCAAGAGAAAACATACTAAAGCAGTAGTCTGTAGATACCATTAAAGGTTTGGATCTTAGCTATTGTTTGTTTTTTTTTTTCATTTTTCATGGTAAGGGATAAAAAAAAAAATACTAGCTACAGAAATATTAGAGCAATGCAAATCAAGTGACTAAAACAACCCGAAACGGAGATGTTAGAGTGAGATCATGGATCAATTCTTCAGCTACTTCATAATTCCATTTAGTTCAAACCAGATAACTTTTTCCACTAAAATTAAGTGAAAGAAAAATTACGTACGAGTTTTGTAGTTAAACAGAAGGAAGAAAGTTACCTTTAACTGGTTAGGAGGCGTGAGCTGAGGTTGCATGGATGTCTGAGATCACTAGCCGGATTGAAAACAAAAGGTTAAACAAATGAATACTAAATAGATATTACTGTGCAGATTTTATATATAAGAAACGACTGAGAGATATGGGAATGCCAACTGCCAAGCGACTTATACAATGCTTAATACAGGGAGTTCACAAGACAGAATGTAAACTTCCAATTTACAGACAGACGGTGAGAGAGATGTTACATAGTTTTTAGGGGATGATGATATTCCATATTTGTATATATCGGTAGTAGATAGGGAATGCCGGGTTGAGAGTGAGAAGGAAGTTAAGGTTCTACTATAAAATTTAGGAGTGTGTTATCCATACACTTCATTTTACTTCTCACACACCTCTTGATAATTTATGTCCGTTGATCTTCTTCAATTCATCTGATCCGACAGCTGAAAATAAAAAGGAGTGTGAGAAGTAAAATGAGGTGTGTGGATATCACACCTCTAAAATTTATTAGCAATATGGAGAGTAGTTCAATTATTTATAAGCACATATATGGTCCTTATTTTTCCGATGCGGAATATATAATCTCAACACCCCCTTCATGTGTGATGATTTTTCAAGTCTAATATGTTAACAATTTTAACGTGTGGATTGTCTAATTAATATTAGGGAAAATCACATCCACATCAACATCTCGCGTACCTTTCCGTTTGGGAGTTGGGTTTGGGTAGGAGGGAGGAACCTCCCACGTGACATGTTCATGTTGTGTGATTGATTTTGCAACTTCTGTTGGTTATGGGGCGGACTTTGTCCAAATTTGGTTGTTCATCTGCTTCTTCGCTCTATAAACTCCTCGAGATCACAACCAATCAAACGGTCAACATAAGTGATGAAAGTGTGCCTATAAGAAGAGTATGGAAATGTACTTGGAGTAATGGAATCACGTGAAATGAGAGATAGGGAGTGTATATATAGATATATCTAAGTTGTATGCTACAACCTCTTTATCAAGAAAGAGATTTCAATAAATCAGTTTTCACACTAGATAGGACCAGCATAAAGTTTTAGCAAGGTTCTAAAAGTCGCTAGGCGCTAGTCGGGCGGCGGATTGGGGCCTAGCGGCTAGGCGGCTAGGCGGGAGCTTAGGCGGACTAGGCGGATTTAAGTAAATCTATCATATTTCAGGTAAATAAGTGTCTGCTTCTACTTGAAATATATATAATTTCATCATAAACTACAAAATAGAATGCATATATATCATGAAGTATTGGAACATAATGAAAACATGTGAAATAAGGATATAATGTTTGTTCATTCAAGTATGCAACAAGTCTCTTACAATTTATTGGAAAAAAAGAAAATGCAAAATGAAAGTTATGTATTTTTTGTCTAAGTGAGTTGCAACCTAGGCAGGTCTAGACGGGTGCCTAGGTGGTCTAGGCGGTGGGCTGGGGCCTAGGCATTAATCGGGGCGGTGGGCTGGGACCTAACGCCTAGACGGGACCTAGGCGGCGCTAGGCGGGGATTTTTAGAACAGTGAGTTTTAGAGATTATTTATTAAAATTTTATCAATCATCCTTCGTTTTGAAAACCAAAGCTAGAAGGATTATATGAATTATGTCACATGACGAAGGAGATAACGAGAGAAGTCATGTATCAGATGTATGTCATCCACTTCCACAACTATGTCCAAAACCAAAACGTAACACCAAGTCTAACTGGATTCTCCTCGCATTGAAATCCATGGAAGCAATAATTAATACAAACCATATCTCAGAAGACAAGTATAAAATGAAAAAGATGATAAAATTGTGGAGCTAACTAAACATTTCTTTGGGCCAAAAATAGAAATACCCAAATGCAGCAAAACAAAAAGAAAACAAAGGCAGGGCATCCTACTCGTACTACAAATCCCGCACCCCCAGAGGCCCTTAACTTTTCTTTTTCAATATGTTTCTCGATTCTATCTTCATTCATAAGCCTTCTCCCAGTCATCAACTTCAGGTGTATCTGCAATAACTCCAACTGGCTGCCCAGCCAAAGTGGAACTCGAACTCGAACCGCTTGCTTTCGACTCCAAACCCGAATTTGATGGACCCAAAGGCTGTTTTCTAGAGTCCTCAACCCTGGGAGATGAAGCGGATGAGCCCAATGCCGTGTCACTGTCTAGTACACTCCATCGATTTACTGAGGCAGCAATTGGTACTTCTTTATTCCACACGTTTGCCTGCGCATCTGTAGAACTGCCTGACCACTCTTCCTCACCCCATGAATCTTCCCTCCAACCAGACTCTCGCGTAACAGCCTTCTTCCACGGATTACCCCTCAGCACTGCAGACGCTCCACCTTCCTTAGCTGTCCCCAGTCCACCCCAAGCGTTAGAACCCGATGCCGCCATAGATGCACTCCCATTTGAGTGGACAACTACAGCGCCATGATATAGTGCGCCATTATCCAACCTCCTCATTGCAGTTGCTGCTCGAGCAGGATCGTTGAATACAGCTAATGCATTCTTATCGTTCAACCATACTAACTCACACTCCCCACCAAACCTTAATACAAGTGCACTTATATCTGCATCTCTAGGAAGATCTGGGAATGAAACTACAAGCCTGGGATCCATGTCTACTAAATAATCATAAGCTGGAGGCTGGGGTGCACCAACTGTTGTTGTACCCTTAACCCCAAGTATCCGAGCGGGGGCTTTTGATTTTGGTGTAACATGAACCACAATAAATCGCTTGGGCTCCCAACCAGCGGCTTGAACTGCAAGCTTCCATCTTTCAGCGATCATCCGAACTACATCCCTCTTCTCCTTTAGCATTGGACAGAAAACATGAACCTTGAGACCACTTGTAGCACCTCTGCCCTTGCCGAGCACTAAGTACTTGCATCTCTCCTCCACTGATAATACCCACTTGGGATCACGTCTAAGAAGGTCCGAAAGCAACTCAGAAACAGCAGAACTCTCACCAAAATGGAGTGCATCCAAGTTTGGAGGAGCTATATCAAAAGCATCTGCAAGAACCCGTTTCCGCTCCATCTTAGCACATTCATCATCACACATAAGCTTCCTCTGTCCAAGCGGGATCTTCTTGCCGGTTGATTCAATTGGTTGAAGTGGTGCTGGCAACCTTTGAATAACAGAAGCTTCGTACACAGTATCGGCCTTGAAACTAGCATTGTTGCCACCAGAATCACAAGGAACAGTTGCTGTCATCCGGCCACAAGAACAAGTGATTGTGACAGAATAATCACATCTGCTATCAGGACAAGAAGCATAAGGGTGACAAAGTGAAGTACATGTATGCCTGCAATCTCTCCTAGGAGCACCACATATCTGCCCACAAGAAGTTTTTGAACCTTGTTCTGCTGAGCAAGATGTATCACAGGGAGGTGGGTGACAAGTCCTGCCACAAGCATGCATACCACACTGCCTTGTCTTCCCACAGAGCTTGTTACACTTGATGTCCCTCGACCCACAAGGAATGTTCCTGAGGACCACATGCCCACCAATGCACTCCTTTGCCACAGGCACCGAACACGGTGGACAGTCTCCAAAGTGGCAGCTGTGAGAAGATGTATGCCCACAAGGCTGAGGGAGTGAACACGGCAGCTGACATGACGGGGGAGAGGTACCGCATGGTAGTGGAGGAGGGATTGAAGTCCTCCCACAGGCACAGGTCAGGTCCGTGAAGATTGTATCAAGGCAGGGAGGGCAGTGGCCACTGTGACAAAGCGATTCACAAGAATGCTGACCGCACCTTAACTTCTTCCCACAGGGCATAGAGCAAAAGTGAGGATCCCAATCCCCTGAGAGAGCATTATTTGAATTAGAAAGGGGACAGCACCTCTCACTGCACCGATGTCTTCCACAATTCTTCTTCTGCCCACAAGGCTTGTCACAAGTAAATTTCTCATTC